GCGGGGGCCGGCCAGGTCAGAGACGGCGGGGCGGAGCCGTGACCGCTACCGAGGGAGCTCCGCTGAGGGGGGCGCCGCGGCGGCGGCTGGATTGGACCGACGGCTTCAGGGCTTCAGGACTTAACGACCATCCCGCGCTGCCGGGTCGTCCCCCGCCCGGACGATGCTGTTGACACGCCTGCTGCTGGCGGCGCTGCTGGTGGTCGGCGTCGGCCGAGCGCAAGGACTCACACACCGCAGTAAGTCATGGACCACCGACTCGGCCAGCGCCGGACGCAGCACCTGTCTACACTCCCTGACTCCTGCCACACTTGTCCTACACAGGGCAGGTGTTTGCTTCACGTGCTAAATTAAAGCAGTCCCAGAGCTAACGCGCGGCCGTAAATCTAAGGTGACACTGGCGCGACATCGCCGATGGAAAAAGGCGGCAAGTCACGCCGTCGGTGCTCCCTCACTGGCTGTCGAATGGCCCCGAACGCACTGCAGCCAGACGCCCACCTGTCAGCCGGCCGGGCATGGCTGCGTCAGTGAGGTCCCAGCCAGCCTGGAGGGCCACCGGTGTAATCCCCTCCCCCTCCCCCCGGCCGGTATCGACCAGTGTGCACCGCGCGCCGGCCGTGAACGGCTCGAACGGGCCTCACGGCGTCCTGTTACGGGCGCGTGCCCGGGCCGACACCCGATGATGACCGAAGCCGGACGCTGGCGGCGCGGGGCGCGCGCGGCCGCCAGGGCCGGGATGGCCCGGTGATTCGGTGGCGGGCCAGCGCCGCCGGCGGTGTAGCACCACCTGCCGGCGCCGTCCCACGACCAATCGATGCGGCCCGGGCTGAGTCGAATGTTTGCTTACCGAGGCCGTCGCCGCACCGTTTGTCCGCGCACTGTGGATACGGAACAGTTAGTTTGCAACTTTCGGCACTTGTGTGCCAGGCGTTCGTCATGTGACGGCTTAAAGTAACACATGAGATTGACAAGTTTGTTTTACGCGCTTATTTCAAATTGGATGGCACGTCTATGGGACTAGGACCAGCCGATACGTTCTAGCTCTATGCATCGCAGGGCAAAACGAAATGAAGCAAATACTTATACCGCAAATGCAGAATAGCGGTCATCCTTGTACACTGATGTAGTTTGGCATGCATTCAGCACTATGCTGGCATGAATATAACACCGATGGCATGAACCCGGCACTATGCTATTGGCATCACCATGACGTTCCGACCTGCCGTAGGTTCCATAATCAAATCCATACTTAGCCGAGATACCGCTACATAAAGAGCGGGGGGCTGGAAAACAAAGAAAGCAAGCCAATTTGGGAGCCACTGTGACAGCTATCCACGTGTAACCGAAAGGTAATTTTGCAGCGAACTTAATCTCTGATGGCTCTGCGAAAACAATGCAATGAAACCTGCAGACGGGAAGCAGCTTTACAGAGAATATTAAATGAATGAAATCTAAAATTTTCGGTTACAGACCAGTCTTTGCGTTTTATGATGTATCATATGCACCCACATTGATTTTCCTTACGCAATGATGCCATTGATGGTGTGCTTACATGTTTGTCAACGTCGATGTATTACAGATAACGTGCGTCACGATGCACCGCAGGTATTGTAGGTGCAATTGTTTTCCTGTAGAGACCTTCGAGGTTCTGAAGGCAAACAAGTATTGCTCAAGTAGTCGGCTAAAGGAGAAAGGAAGCATATGGAGACGCTCCAAATTGGAGGGAGGAAATGTAGCAGGAAGCGGGATATCTCACAGAAAGAGCATTGATATATAAGTTGTATTCCCTCTGAGTATGCTTCCCAGTGCCCGCTCCGTTGTGTCTCCCGCCCCGGTGTGCTGTTGGTCAGACACTGAGAGAGACAGCGTAAACTCACTGTCTGTGACTGCCTTGCGTATTTTCGATTCCCCTGTCTCCATTATTTTTCTTCCAGGTCTTTCTCGCTCTTTCTCTTTACTCCTATCTTTCCAGTTTCCTTCAGTACTCATGGCTGCATTTTGCCCGCAAAATTCCGTATAATGCATCGCTTGCGACGCGACTAGCGAAAATTGTCAAATCCACCAATGAGTATTACGACTTAATATTGCTTTCATATGCATGAGGTTGGTAGGCAAGCCTCTTCACAAACACTTGTGAAAAGGCCGTTGCGTCGCGACATCTGAGTTAGATACCAGGCATCGAGGTCTAGGGACATCGGTGATATGCAGCTGCGGGCGAATGGTTCCATTTCGCAAAAGTCAGATAGTGCGGAAACTAGTGCACAAGCCATGTGCTGCTCTCCAATTAGCTAAAACAAAAATATCTCGCGCAGCGCAGCAACCGTCTCCATCAATGTGAGAACCACGCATACCTTGCGCGAACTCCAGCGCCATCTGACTTACGCACAGCAGGATAACAGCTGGCAATGTCGCACAAATGTGTATATGAACCTTTCAAGTGCACGGTAAAAACGCATACTGAAAAGCATCCGGCCATCAGTAGTCCGTCGTTCAGCTTTTGAAATCCTCGGAGCGCAAACAGCGACGACAGAAGTCGACTACGCTGCGCAGCGTTGGACCGCCGTCCGGCGGAGCCCGGGTCCGTCTCCGCCCGCGAGCGCTGCTCATGACTGAAGCGGTCCGAGCCGCGCCACACAGTGTTGGACCGCCGTCCGGCGAAGCCCGGGTTCGTCCCCGCCCGCGAGCGCCGCTCATGACTGACGCGGTCCGAGCCGCGCCACGCTCCGGTGGCGCGGGCGCCGGTCGTGCCTCGGTCGCTCCCAACCGAGCCCGCAGGGAATGTACCCAGCTGCGCGCCGCGACCGTGCCAGCCAGCATTACAGAGCCGGTCCGAGTCCGGCGGCGCTCTGGAGGACACGCACGCCGGCGTGGGACCCGCGCCGACCGTGCGCGGCCTCAGGGGCCGCTGAGACGGGCATGGGACCCGCGCTGACCGTGCGCGGCCTCAGGGGCCGCTGAGACGGGCATGGGACCCGCGCTGACCGTGCGCGGCCTCAGGGGCCGCTGGGACGGGCGTGGAACCCGCGCTGACCGTGCGCGGCCTCAGGGGCCGCTGAGACTGGCGTGGGACCCGCACTGACCGTGCGCGGCCTCAGGGGCCACTGAGACGGGCATGGGACCCGCGCTGACCGTGCGCGGCCTCAGGGGCCGCTGAGACGGGCGTGGGACCCGCGCTGACTGTGCGCGGCCTCAGGGGCCGCTGAGACGGGCGTGGGACCCGCGCTGACCGTGCGCGGCCTCAGGGGCCGCTGAGACGGGCGTGGGACCCGCGCTGACCGTGCGCGGCCTCAAGGGCCGCTGAGACGGGCGTGGGACCCGCGCTGACCGTGCGCGTCCTCAGGGGCCGCTGAGACTGGCGTGGGACCCGCACTGACCGTGCGCGGCCTCAGGGGCCGCTGAGACGGGCGTGGGACCCGCGCTGACCGTGCGCGGCCTCAGGGGCCGCTGGGACGGACATGCGGCCGTCGCGCGGTGGCGTGTCGGTGCCTCCGGTCGCGCCTCAGACGCCGGCGAGCAGACGTGCCGTGGCTGACCGGGGTGGCGTGGCCTGCGGTCGGTTCCGCCGGCTGAGGGCGGGAATGCCTGGACGGACTGGGTCCAGCCGCCATATCGTCTGCCTCTCAAACACTTGACGACGCTCCTGCTGCCACTGGGTGACGTGAAGGCGTTGATAGTACTGACGCCCTTTGCAGTAGATGCGATCAGCTATCTCGCGTTCATTGCGGATCGTGCCGTCACTTACGCTGCTCTCTACAGTGCTCCATCGTCCCTTCGCGTGCTGCGTACCGCTGTTCATTACGGCCTCTATCTCTGTTTCCATAGCAGCTGTGTTGTCACTTTCGTTTCAAGGCAGTTCATTTATAACCACTTTGATGTAGGTGATGGCTGACGTTGGCGCTTTAGTTGCTTGTGACAGATAATTAAGCAGAGCATAACAGACCTACGCTCTGGGGCATTGATTCCGCTAGGGCTGTTCTTACCCTCAGACGGAACCGTTTTGGGTGGTTTCTTATTGCCTGGGCTCTGTCCAGTCCCCTCTCAATGTCTATAAAAGGGATTTACGACGGCATAAGCCGTGATAGCCGCTGGCCGGCTGAGTACATTTGCGTCATAACTTCGCCTAAAACAAAAAAATGTAGAATAGCAGCGTCCGGCGTTTCAGCATTGAAATAACGCGGACTTGCAAAGTTTGCCCTTCTGCATGGCAAACACTGACACTTGATGAGGTGTTTACAAATACGCTACATGGGCGCAGCATTCGCAAAAACTTCTCACGAAGTATAACATTACGTGACCAAACGTCCAGAAACGTGAAAATAGCATTTGGCCTCCAGCATGCCATAATTCATCTGATACCGATGTGCATGGTCATACTTATGCTAATGTTCAATTCAACTGATATTCATATGATGTATATATATATATATATATATATATATATACACGCAAGTATACACATATATATTCATATGTATATACATGAGTTATAGAGAGAGATAGAATAATAGTTTATGTGTAATACATGTAGTCACTATGGTTTACTTTTTGTTCCGCAATGTTCTTAGTCTAATTCGAAAAAATTATATTTGTCGAGCGTTAGCTGCAATAGCATGACACAGCCAGACTGCACTTTCTAGCCACTGTTCAGAACAGGCCCACAGCGAACTGAAACTTTAACCTGGACGTCTGGTGCCCTGGTTGCAAGCCTCCACGTCGGTTGTGGTGACTGCACGCTTTCACGTCTGGTACGTACCACGGTAGCCCGTCTCCAAGTCTGGCACGCCAGCCGCACGTCCCCACGTCTTGTACCCTAGCTGCCCGACTCCACGTCCCGTGGACCAGCGGCGCATTTTCACGTCTAGCAGCCCGGTGGCACGAGACCACGTCTGGAGCCCCGGCTGCACGCCTCCACGCCTGGTGCAGCGGCCGCACGTCTCCACGTCCCGCTAATTCGGTGGCCGGTCGTGCTCCGCAGGAAGCGGAGAGCGCCCGAGCTAAGTGCCCACCTCAGCCGATGAGAGGCATCCGTCCGTTCCCGGATCCAGGTCGTTCCGGTGCGTCACCGGCGATGGGACCCTTTTATCTGCCGGCATGCCCACCCCGGTCGGAACTGACTCTCTCTGTCTGTCTGTCTGTCTGTCTGTCTGTCTGTCCTGTCTGTCTGTCTGTCTGGCTGGCTGGCTGGCTGGCTGACTGGCTGCTGGCTGGTGGCTGGCTGGCTGGCTGGCTAGCTGGCTGG